TGCACGCACACGCGCCCGGCGTGAGTTTTAAGCCACTGAGTCTGGGACGCGAATCGCGGTCGACTACGTGGGAGTCCAGTGATATAGCCATTATGCTAACTGCTGGTCCCTTTTTTAAGAATTTTTTTTTGGGACCAGGAGATGGCATAATGGTTGTGTCACTGGATTTTCACGTAGTCCAACACAGTTGGAGTCCTGGACCCAGTGGCTTGAAACTCATGCCAGATGTGTGTGTGTGTGTGTGTGTGTGTGTGTGTGTGTGTGCCCAAAATCTTGAGAGGTGACTGGAGGAGAAGGGATTGAGGCATGCCCAACCCCTGGGATATGATTTCTCGCTTTCTGTCGCTTTGTCTCTCTGGAGAGTGCACATGTCCTATAGCAAAATTCCCTCAAAAAATTATTATTTATTTATGGGACCAGCAGATGGTGTAATGGTTACATCACTGGACTCCAACGTAGTTGACCGTGGTTCGAGTCCTAGACCCAGCGGCTTAAAACACACCAAATACATGTGCATGCATGCCCAAAATCCCAAGAGGAGAATGTAGGAGAAGGGACTGTGGCATGGCCATCCATCCTGGGGTCTGATTTTTCGCTTTTTGTCTCTCTCTGCTCTCTGTCTTTCTGGAGAGTGCATGTGCCCTACAGCAAACAGACAAACCAACAAACTCAAAAAAGCACACAAAAACCTCTTTAAAAATAATTAATTAATTAACTTATTATTATTGTTATTATTTAATTTGCTATAATCACCAGAGAGACAGGGAGTGAGAGAGGCAAAGTGAGAAAGCAAGCTGCCAAGTCTGGGACTCGAACCACAGTTGACCACGTGGGAGTATGGCACCTCAACCACCATGCCACCTGCTGGCCCCCAAGATATTCTTATTTTTGCTAAAGAAAACACTCAAAGGATAAATCAGAAACTAATTTTAAAAAATATGTTTTCCCACAAAAATTAAAGAGAAATGGCATGTGGGATGCTGGAGTTTGGGGATACCAAACAAATTCTTGTGTTAGAACTTAGTTGTAAGTTTGGTGTTGAAAGGTAGGGCTCTTGGGAGTGCCTAAGTGAGTGGCGGGGACCCCTCTGGTTGACTTCGGTGAAAGTGTAAGGAGTGGGAAATGTGACCAGAACAGAGATTGGACCCTGGTGCTCCTCTCCTGTCCTCCTGCCTGGAAGTCTCAGGATTCCACAAGAACCCCGGCCTCCCCTCAGATGCAGCCTTGGATCCTGGACCTGGGAACTGAATGAGCTGCCATTCTCTTAAGTTACCCAGACTCAGAGACTTTCTGTTATTAGCAATAGAGCAGACTGGAACACGAGGGGGAGGAGGAAAGGCAGGATTTTTAGTTGAGCTTTGACTTTTGTACCACACAAATATTTGATATAGTCAAAAAGTAAGACTCAATTGTAAAAGAAAAACAAGTGGACCCTTAATAAAAAATAAAAAAAAAAAAGGGAACCAGCAGTTAGCATAATGGCTATGTCGCTGGACTCCCATGGCTATGTCTGGGTTCACGTCCCAGACCCGGTGGCTTAGAACTCATGCCGGGCACGTGTGCGTGCGTGCCCAGGATCCCGAGAGGAGAATGGAGGAGAAGGGATTGCGGTGTGACCATCCCCCCGGGGGGTGATTTCTCGCTTTCTGTCTCTCTGGCAAGCACACGCGCCCTATAGCGGAAAAAATGAAAAATAAAAAACTTGGGCCAGCTCCATGGCCTGCTGGTTAGGGCAGCCAGATCCCACATGGCTGACTGTGTGGTTCAAGTCCCAGACCCAGTGGCATGAAAAACACAGTGGGCACATGTGCATGTGCCCAAAATCCCAAAAGGAAGGAGAGATGGAGATGGGATTGCAGCATAGAAGGTGCAAACCTCACTCAGTAGCAGTTGAAAAAAATATGGATATTGAGGTTTTGAAACTATTTAATATCCATGGTAGAATATAGAATAAGTAATATAACTAATGTTCCTAACCGGCAACTAAGATTTTCAGTGTAAGATAAAGATACAAAATAAAAGTTAAGAAAAATATATAATGTTAAAATTAATAAAAATGTCATAAACCTGTGATTTAAAGAAAAAATACATTTTGGGAGCCAACAAGTGGCATGGTGGTTAAGGCACTGGACTCCCACACTCCCCCAGCAGATCGAGTCCTGAACCAGGTAACTTGCTTTCTTACTTGCTTGCTCTCTCTCTGTCTCTCTCTGGTGAGTGCATGTTCCCCATAGCAAATTAAATAATAATAATAAATTAAATAATTAATTTTTAAAAATACATATTTCCTAACTACTACCCACTGAAAGGGCCTAGGAGCACTGATGCTCTTATATCAATAAGCACACCTTCACCCCAGTCTTCATTCCAAATACCCTTCCACAATACAAGGAATCAAATCTTAGAGAAATTGGTAATTTGGGGTTTAAGGAAGAGAAAGTACCCAGGAGTCTGAGACATCTTGTGCCAGAAAGCAAAGCCCCAGAATCCAGCTTGAAGGAGCTCTTAATGGCCAAATTTAGCACAATTTGGACATCAAAAAGAATGCTTTTTATAATTAATTGTAAGTCATGAATAAATACAAATCTGTGAGTCCATATTGACACTCAAAAAAAAAACAAAAACTGTCACCATTGGAGAACATTCTACCAACTCCCTATCCTAAAATTTTCTAATGAAAGAGAAGACATTAAACATTTATTCTGACACTTCAGAATGACCCATAGTCCTTGCTAAGTGATGAGAGAGAGCAGCATTTTATGGAAGGATGACAGCCAGCAGGTGTGGAAGGAATGGTAGGCTCAGGAAATCAGCATTTCAGCAACTACTCCCCCATTTAAAAACTGATGACCAATATATACTTTGGGAGGTGATCAAACTCACACAGTGTCACCCTTGGGCCACTCATGAATTGCACCAAGCTGGCAACCACAACCTTACAAGGGATTAAATTTGGTGTCACTAATAATGGGCACCCTGACCTTGCCTGTCTCCTGATGGGATGCAATATGAAGTTTATAACATCAAGGAATTGTGCCAAAAACATTTAACCTGAATCTAATTAAACCTCTGGACCTAATTTCCAGGTTGCAGGAAATACAGCTAGAAGAACAAATTAAATGACACCGTGAGGAAATAATTCAACAAGCCAGTATCTAGACAACTCTGCAAGACATCTAGTCTAGTTTTCAAAAAGCCAGTCTCATGGGGAAAAAAAAAAGATTTGGGGGTAGGGAAATTTTACATTAAAGAAGACCAGAGCGACAGAAACAAATCTAATACACAATCCTTGACTGGATCTCAGTTCTAAAAACCAACATCTTTGGGGAATATTTTGGGAATGTTCCAAATGGATTCTCTATGATGTTGGCTAAGCAGCCCCTCTTTGGTCACCAGGACCAAGCTTCTTCAGTGCTTTCCACTCCTTGGAGATGCCCCGTGGAGCTATCCTACCTGGTTACAGTGAGTGGGACAGAGCCCCTGCCCTTCGCTATGACCTTGGTGTCTGAAGAGGTGATGGCCCTGGAGCACAGTAAGGTCTGCAAAGCAACAGAGTAGAAGCCTTCTTTTTCTTTCCCTTTCCTAACCTTTTCTTTCCTTTCTTTGATCTTCCTCTTTTCATATATACATATATATATAATATAAAATATTATATATAATATAGTAATATAATATACACACATGTACATATATGTGTATATATGTACATATATGTATGTGTGTATGTGTGTGTGTGTGTGTGTGTGGATACACACACACACACACACACACATGCATATATTACATTGAAGTCTACAGAACATTAAAAAAACAAAAACTGCTTTAAAATCTTCAGACCAGGGCAACCCCATGGGATAGTGTTTAAAGGGAGCCAGCTCTCACATGGTTGATCACACAGACCCCATGGATTGAAAAACATGGGCCAGCAGGTGGTGTAGTGTTTGAGGCACTGGATCCCACATCGCCGAATGCTCAGATCCAGTCCTGGACCCTGTGGCTTTAAAAACACGCCCAGGGCACGTGGAACGAAGCCCACACAGGAGAATGGAGAAGATGGGATTGTGGCATGGTCATCCCCTGGGGGGTGATTTCTCACTTTCCCTCCCTCTGTCTCACTCTGACAGGCACAATGTGCCCTATAGCAAAAACTAAAAAAAAAAAAACCACGCCAGGAATATGTGCATGTGTGTCCCAAATCCTGACAGAACGGAGAACAGAGAAGAAGGGATTACAACATAACCACACCCCACTGGGATGCGTTCTCTCTTTCCTACTCTCTCTGACTCTCTCTTGCAAGTGCATGCATCTTCTAGCAAAATTTTAAAAAGCAAAAAAGCCTGGACCAACTGGAGGCATGGCGGTTAAGGCAGCTGGATCCCACACCACTGTTAGCATGGTCCAGATGAAGGAGAAGGGGTTGCAGCATGGCCATTCCCCCAAAAGAGGTGATCTCTCTCTCTCTTTCTCTCTCCCCCCTCTCTTTCTCTCTCTCTCTCCCCCCCTTACTCTCTCTCTGGCAAGTGCACATGCCCTATAGCAAAAAAAAAAAAAAAAAAAAGTAATTCTGCTTCTGAGGCTCCTTACCCAGAAGAATTGAAATTGGGTACGCAAACAAATAATTATACACACATATTCACCACAGAATTATTCATAGTCACCAACAGGTGAAATAGGTCCATCAACAGATGAACAAACTGTGGTATAGCTAGACAATGGAATATTATTTAGCCATGAAAAGGGACAAAGTACTGTCACCTGTTACAATATGGATGAACCGTGAAAACGTTATGCTACGTAAAAGAAACCAGACACAA